CGAGCTACGGGTGGAGGGGCAGAGAGGAGACCCCTGGGACAGGATGGGGGAAGGGAGAGGCCAGTAGGTAGTGAGGGAGGGGCGTGAGTGACTCTCCGAGCATACTTAGAGGGAAGACAGAGAGAGGCACATGGGGAGCAGCAGTGACCCTTGGTCTGGGCCCGTGGGCGAGGCAAGTGGGGCCGAGGCTCACGCATGCGCCATGGGGCGCAGCTGGAGAGCCAGAGAGAAGGGAAGTGGGGGAGGAGGAGGATGGCTCTGAGTACTCCGCCCCTGGTGGCTGCAGAAAGCTCAACCCCCTCAAGAGATGAGAAATGGGGCACCCCAGGGCAGTGCCGACCCAACAGCAGCTGGGCAGCTGGGAATTCTCAGTGGAAGCACGAGCCCCCGCGGCACAGGTCAGGCGTGAGTCTGGGAGTGGGGGGGTCACAAGGCTGCCGGCTCAGCTGTGCATGACCGTCCCGAGCTCTCCTGCCACCCCAGGCCCGTCTCCAACTGTGTGGCCTCTCATGCAGATGCCTCGTCCCTGGGTCCTGAAGAGCCTGGGGCGCGGCCAGGCAGGAGGGTAGGCGGGCAGGCTGGCATGAGCGCTCGGCGGCTCAGTGCCAAGCTCCCAGATGCCAGCAGAAACCAAGTGCCAAAGAAACTCCACTTTGCTTGCACCTGTGGGTCTCAGGGCACAGGTTGGCTGGAACAGCGCCCCCCCACCCCCACCCCCAGAGGTCCCTGAGTCTAAGCCTGCTGGGCCGGTGACAAGGAGGGCCTGTGCCGGGCGGCCTGCCCCCACGGGGTGGCTGTCACAGGAAAGCGCCCTGACTGCAGGAGAAGGAGGGAGAGAACAGCTGTGTGCTCCATGGGGAGGATCCCCAAAATAGAAAGGCACAGACGCACTGCAGGCCCTGACCCAGAATGCGCACAGCCTTCCCATCAATCCCGCTCGTGGGGAAGCGGGGAAGCTGTTGGCGCTGAGCCCCCCTCCCACCTCCAGGGGTCCCGTGTAGCTTCAAGGACACGTGCATCCCCTGGTCCTTCTCAGGGAGGAAACCTCAGAGCCCCTGCAGATGCTCGGCATCCCAAAAAGGGCCCTTGGTGGCTGGGATAGTCCTTGCGCCTGGGGTCACTGTCCTCCCGGCATCACGAAGAGCCATTTCCCGGTGGGGCCATGAGTTCTGGCGACTCATGCAAGGTCTCAGTGAGTGTCGGGCCCAGCTGCCTGCCTGGGAAGTCGTTCCCTGGGGTTCTGCACAGGGTCCCCCTCTCCTGGGTAGGCCTGAAGTGGGAGGTTCCCAGAGCTCCTGGTCCTGTATCTTGCCACCCCTGCCCCCCATCAATTTGCCATGACAGCTCAGCTCAGAGCCTGGGGCTATCCCAACCTGACTCTCAGGCTAGGCTGGGCGTGATGCTGAGTAGAATGTCCTCAGGAGCCCCTCTTCCCTGTCCCTGGGTCAGCGCTGACATAGCCTGCAGGCAATCTGGGACCCGGTTCTGAGCACTGCTCCCTGAGCCCCCAGGGTGGAAAGCTGTGATAATTCCTAAGCTGGGCCCCTGATGGTGCTCAGGAAGGCAGGCCTGGGTTTGAGCTCTCAATTTCCAACCCACAGACCGCAACTCTGGGAAAGCCCGAGCCCCTCTCAGTCTCAGCCACTCACTGGTCAGAGGGCGGAAGCGGATGACCTCATGGCTACAAAGGACTTCTTGCGAGACCCCCTCTTTTGTTCTTCTGGCTGCAGAGCAGGCCCGACATGGAGACCAGGATGGGAAAACCTGGGGTGAATGTGCTGCTCGATGGTGAAGTGGAGGTAACCCGGGATGTCTAGCACCAGGTGCCAGGAAGACCCTCAGGAACGTGGTAGGGAGCCAGGCAGAGATAGGCCCTGTGGGGTGACACTCACATCCTCTGACCTCCGGGCCTCACCAAGTTCGTGACAACTCTGGGGTCACAGCTCATGCTCCGGAGTGAACCTGGGAACCGTAGGTGAGGTACATATGGGGGCAGAGCCTATTATACTCAGCACCACCCCGACTGGGCCCAGATCCAATTCTCCATTTGCTGCACTCACCAGGGTTCACAACCACCAGCTTCCTCCTCCAGAGAGCTTGGAAGTAAACTGGGCCACGGAGCCTGAAGAGCTCTGGTCCCAAGTGCTCCCCTGCGTGTGTGAAACCCCTGCAGCCTCAGAGCTCTGCAGCTCCTGGTAGGATCTGGGTTGGGACCCAGGACAGGGGACAAGCACACCACATGCCAATTCCATGCATTTTCGACGGGATGCCCATCGCGAGATCCTCACACCAGGAATCAACCCACCCACCAGTGAGGATGGGGAGCATGGAGGGAACTTCGTGTTAAAGGTCAGGGCACACTTCCTGTCCAGGAATATGTGCAGAGACGATGCCTTACCCCAGGCACTGAGGTCCAAAGTGGGAAAAAAAAAACAGCGGAGTGTAGGGGTGGAGGTGGAAGGGAGAGAGGGGCAGTAGAGACCCGCTGCTGAGCTCAGGACACGCGTGAAAGGCACTTGCGCCCTCAGGCAGCTAGAGGGCAGAGTGAGGAGCACCCAAAGGGGGCAGCGCCGCACCACTTAGCACTGTGTCTTTGGTCAGGTTGTTTGCTTTCTCTGAGTCTCCACTTCATTGGGGTGACCCCTGGGGGTCAGGAGCTAATCCCAGCCCCTCCCCTAGGATCCCGAGGAAATGACCATTAGCAAAGGGCCTGGTACCGAATCGGTGCTCTATGATGAGCAGCTGTTGCTATTCACTGTACTGTTGTTTGGGGAACGATCCCAGAGCTCAGGGTTCCCTCCTGCCAGGGTTTGGGAGACATTATGTGGTGTTGGGGATGGGACCTAGGTCAGTCGCATGTAAGGCAGGTGCCAAGTGCCCCACCCACTGTATTATCTCTCCAGTGCCATTATTACTCTTGATAGACCTTTGTCCTTAGGGAGGGCAGAGCCCTACACAAGAACAAGGATGACATCTGATGCCATTTCCTTGCAGGGGGCTTACTGAGCTCCACAGGGGAGTCCCGGGGGTCTCTCAGAGCATTTGGGGACCGAGACGACACCATGTCTAGGTACAGAGGCTTGACAGATGTTTTGGGTTGGTGGACTGGGCAAAGGATGAGGTAACTAGGAAGGCTAAAATTCTGAAAATACCCCCACGGTAAGGCGGCAGGCAGGATGTGGGTGAACAGGGCCTCCAGAGAGGTGCCTCCAGCTTACAGCATCTCCTGGAACTGGAGTTGGCAAAGGAGGTTGCCCCCACTGTGTCAGAGGGGGAGTCGCAATGCCAAGAGAGCAAAGCCCAAGGCCAGTTTGCAGGGTGGGAGGACCCCATCGATTGCGGTAGGGGGTACCCTAGTGTTCAGGAAAGCTTGCTGTTTGGGAAGCAGAGCACTCACAGAGCCAAGGACAGAGAACAAGGTGTACCCTTTAGGAGGGAGAAGGGCTGATTTTGATCAAGTCCAAGGCATGAATCTAAAGTGGTGCATGACTGGAATTTTTGGCAGGGCTCACAAATGGCTCCAAGTCTGTAGAGAGAAGCCAAAGCTGAAAATGGCCCGGGCAGTGGAGACCTCTCTTGTGAGAGCCAGAGTGCCTCTAGTCTACATAGACTCAGACCCATGGGATGACTCGCTGGTCACACTTCCGGAAAGAGTGCTGGTGAGTGAGGAAAGGTGAGGAGGACCCTACAACTGCAGTCACCCAGTCTTCCAGGAAATGCCTCCACAAGGATGTACAGGAGGAGAGAAAGCTGATATCCAATGTAACCCTTGGAGGCATTGCAGAGAGCTGCCTTCAGGGTCTTCACCTCTAATGATGAAAGGGAAGTAAGAAATCAAAAAGGTAACTAGGACAGAGGCTCGAGATTGTCTCCCAGACAAAGCCCAGTGGCAGAAATTTGAGAACAGGTTGCTGGCAAGTCTAACCCCATCCCACCCTCTCTGGGAACAGGGACCTTTGGGTATTCAATGTTCATCCCCAGGACTCCATAACACATTCAGACGCACGGCTGGTGATCGGGAAGGAGCGGGAGGGAGAAACAAGACAACAGTCCTTGTAGTCCTGTACACTTATCAGAATCCTCGCATCAAGAGAAAGCAGGTTGCCCCCGGGATCGGAGAGGCTGGGCCCTCAGTTCTGTGCAATGACATTTCTGCAAAGCCCAGAGTCCCAGCTCTCTGAACAGGAAGGAAGCAGACCACGGCTCTAGAAGAGCCATTTCCTCTCTGCTCTATTAATTTCAGAGATTAAGCAGGCCACTCCTCTGCGGGTCTAATACACTAAGATAACAGTCATTGTGTTTGCTGAGACTGCTACTCACTGAGCTCATCTTGGTCGCCTGGCCCTGGTACAGGTTTTCACTGTCACGTTCTACCATCCGGTGACTCTCACGGCCCATCCCATCATCCTGGCTTTGGGAACTATCGCTTGGGACACACAAATGCTGTTTTCGAGGTGTCAGGGGGAAGCACACACTTCTGAATCCATTTTTCAAAAGCACCCCCTCCCCCGCCCGCATGCCAGAGAATTGAATGGGGATCTCTTTCAGAGCCTCCTGGCTGGCTTCCGGTTCTCAGTGGCACGAGGAAGCTACTGTAATACATCTAGCGCCTGTCATTCCCACATTCTTGGTTTCTACAAAGGGTGTGTGTGTTGGGGCGGGGGGGGGGGGAGGGTGGTGGGGGATATAGGCCTTTTCGTCCCTCTCGCCTTTCCTCTCTTTCTAGTTGGAAGTGTGTGTGTGTTTTGGGGGGGGGGGTGTAACTGGACTGGGAACACAGGTGGAGCCTGGGACTCTACTTCCTGTTCTCCCAGCGACTCACACGGGGGCCGGGTCAGCTCATCTCCTAGACGTTTCCCCGGCCAAATGGCAATTCCTGACACTCTGGGTTGGTTCCCTACCACCACGTTTTTCACAGTAACATGTCAATAATACACCTTATATTCAAGTTTCAGATGAAAAGCATTCAACCCCCCCTCCCCCATTGCCCATTTTCTGACCGATTCCTGGAGCTTTCTCTGTTCCTGACGATTTCCCACCATGGAGTAATTGGGAAGCATGTTCTTGATTACAAGCCGATTTTTCCAGTCATCCATTGTTTGACCTGCAATTTTTTTCTTGACTCTCCAAGGCGTTTCCCAAACGACCTAGACACAAGGCTTTGGGAGACAAAAAGTACACTGTCTTCAGATTTGAAGATGAGACAATCAATCCCATGAATTACAGACTTTCACTCTGAGGACACGTTTGGGCTGGGTCTGCACATTCCTTTTCCTGTCTCCCCACGACAACCTCATTCTCTCCCCCAGGGGGCTGGGACATGGCTGGGAAGCGGCTGGCTGGGTTCAGAAGCCAGGCCTGGGTCAGATGGGTGCAGAGGCAGCCTGACATGACTGCCTTGGCTTGGCATTGGGCTCTGAGGCTGGGACTATGGGTCCTACGTCTGACATGGCTTTCATAGGGCAGACCTAGGAAGCTCTCTGGCCTCCTATGCCAAGCCAGTTCGTTAAAGCAGGAGAGAGCTTCCACCCCTTCAGCGCTACTGGAGCCAAATGATGGCTATGCACGTGGCAGCCCCCAGTACACAGCCTGAGAGGCAATGCAATGGATGTTGGAAGGAGCTCACGAAATATGAGTACACTGGCTTATAAAAGCAAGCAGCCCGTGATTTGCGATGTTTGCACTCTGTGCACACCCATGAGCCTTGTTTTCACGGTCTGGACACATAGTGAAGGCTCTGTGAAGCTCTTCATATACAAGGGGAGCTTTCCACACACCCCCACACACAACCGCCCCGCACAACCTTCCGCAACAGAAAATCGGGCTGTGAATGTTCACATCCATATCTCTGTTGGAATAATAGAGTACTTGCCCCCTTTCCCCAAAGAACAGCTTAAACCTCAGAACATTAGTTATAAAACTCATACAAGACCCTGAAAGAGGAAGGGAGGTTGATCGACAGGGATCCTAAATCTCAAGGAATGAACGGGTGGCAAGTTGCCTGGGTGTTCTTTTTGCCTTATGGGCCTCAGACACAAAACGAATGCCAATGGGTATGGGCAAAAAGTTCCCTACCAAAGCCTTTGGCCAAAGCCTTTGGTCTAAGGATCCAGAAAGTTGCAGCTTATCAAGAGAGACAAATTTTATACACCAGCTCCTCTAATTGAGCTGAGTATGACAGAAAAGTCGTGGTTCCACTCTATCCCATCAGGAAAGTCCCAGGCCAGCCTACACTCCACCTCCACCTGGCTATAATGGCTTGTTGTAATGGCTTGTCTCAGCCTCTCCTCACTAGAGTGGTGTCAGAGGGCAGTTGGGACTCTGATCCCTCCACGGCAGGAATGAGGCCGCAATCCCACCCTGACCTGTGGCAGGGGCAGTCAGCTGGGCCAGGTGTTCCCACCCATGCCAGATTAGGTCACATCAATGGAAGCCCAGTGGGAAGCTGGTACAATCAGAGCCCAGAGTCCTGAGAAGCCTCAGATTCCCTGGTTTCAGAGGAGACCAAGGGGAGAACTTAAGCTTCCACAGCCACAGGGAGAAATAAGATAGTGCCTTCCACTTTCCTGGTTATGGTATTGTCAGAGAAATTCAGCTACAACAAGAATTTTAAATAAAAGCAAGTACTATGGGGCTGGAGAGATCATACAGCAAGTAAGGCACTTGCCTTGCATGTAGCTGACCCAGGTTCAATCCCTGGCACCACATATGTTCCCCGAACCCCACCAGGACTAATTACTGAGTGCAGAGCCAGGAGGAACCCCTGAGCATGGCTGGGTGTGGCCCCAACACCAAAACAAACCAAAATAAAAATAAAACAAACCAAAGGAAACCAAAAAAGCTGGTACTATAATACTTGTGAGTGCCCAGATTTTAACGAAAAATCTCTCCATACCTAGAATCAGGAAATCTCACGGTATGAAAAAGAAAATCCACAGATGCCGACACTGAGATTACATGGACATTAGAACATTGGACAATTTTTAAAAACATGCAATTAAAATGTTTCAATCAACAATTATAATCAAGCGTGAAACAAAAGAAAATGATAAGCCTCAGCAAAGAAAAAGAAAACACAAAGAAGGACCAAGTGGAAATTCTGGAACTAAAAACTAAAATCACTGAAATAAGAAGAAATTTAATGGATGGGAGCAAGAAGATAACAGAGGGAAGAGAGGGAAAAAAATAGAATAGCAGTTACCCAATCTGAACAGAGAAAATAAACTGGGAAAAAGGAAAAGTGTTATAGGTTCATATGGGAATGTAACAAATGACCTAAGATTTATGTTATTAGAATCTCAGAAACAGGAAACAAATAGGTCAGACAATACATGCAAAGAAATAATGGCTGAAAACGCCCCCAAATATGGCAAGAGGCATTAATCTAAAATTCAAGAACCTAAATAAATCCCTAACAGTCTAAAAGAAAGAAATCCTACTAAGTAAAGTCTCAAGACCAAAGGGAAAAAATGACAACCTATAGAGAGTGGATCGTTTGAATGACAATGACTTTTTAAATTTAATCAGAAACGATGGAAGCCAGAAGGTAGCACAATCATTTGCAAGTGCCAGCATCCATCAATCTAGAGTCCAGAATCAGTGGGTATATCCCAGTGAGAGTCAACTCCAGATATGGAAAAAAATTCAAAGAATCTGCCAAAAAGACTTCTTTAAGCAGAAATAAAATGATAAAATAACAGCAAACAACATTAAGGAAACAAAGAACAATGGAAAGAGAAAAAAAAAGTGAAGAAACCAGACAGATAGTACAGCGGGTAAGGCACCTGCCTTGTATGAAGCCAAGCCTGGTTTGATCCCCAACATCTCAAATGTTCCCCTGAACAGTGCCAGGAATCACCTTTGAGCACAGAGCCAGGAGTAGCTCCTGATAATTTCTGGGTATAGCTCAATACCCACCCTCCTGCCTTAAGAGCAAAATTCTGGATAAATAAATTTTTTTCTTTTCTCAAATTGTCTAAATTTTGTTTGATGGTTGGAGCACCAATGATTGATATTGCATACGTGGTTCTAATGACACAAGGAAGAAAGGTTCAACACTTTATACTATACATGAAGGACCAGTGAGTGGAAAGAGGAACGCTATTTCTTCTACACTTCAAACTGTTAAAATGTTGACAGCACAGGATGATTATGTGTTATGTATACATAGGCATTACCTAGAGCAATCACTAAAAATAGCACACAGGAAAATCTGCTCAAAATGCCATGCATGAGTCATTGAATAATATTCTAAAACATCTTAACACACAAGACATCAGGAAAAAGTATAAGAACAAAAACGGAGAACAAACAGAAAGCAAAAGTAAACCGACAGAATTAAGCTCTAGTTTATCAGTATGTATATTTTGTGAAAATGGTTTCAATGTACCGCTAAAATGATGAATATTAATATGGGGGATTGTTCATGACTCAGCTACATGTTGCCTGCAAGATGCTCACTTCAGACGTAATGATGTGGCGAGTTTAGAAGATAAAAGGGTGGAGAAAAAATTTCATATAAACATCAATTTTTAAAAGTCTCGGGATGACTCTAGTGCTATTACATATACTCAAATTTAGAACAAATAAATAAAATCAAATTTAGATCAGAGAGAGAGAGACATCAAAAATAATAAAAGTCAATTCGCCAAGATGACTGCAATTATCAAATGTGCATGCACAAGAACAGAGTTTCAGGATGTCTGAAATGAAAATTAAAATAACTTCAAAAAGTCTTAGGAAAAAATGACATTTATTGTGAAGACTTCAGTAATTCATGAAACAACAAAACAGAAAATGTGTAAGGTATAAAAGAAGTTAACAACACTATCAATCAGGACCGAATAAATATTTATAGACCACCCCACCAAAAGCAGGTAAAATTTAAATATTGGGGCTTATACTCAATGCTCAGGTGGCCTGGGAATCTCTTCCAGTGACTATTGACCAACTGGGCTGATGGTTCAAGGGCCTGAGGAGCAAATGCTGCTTGCAACCAGGGTGCTCTGGCATTGCCTGGCAGTGCTTGGGGCCTCAAGGACTTCACCTAGGGATGCTCAGGGATGCAAGGGTTCTAACTGGGGTTGGCTACATTCAAGACATGGACCTTATTTGTACTGTGTCTTCATACACCAAATTTAACTTCTTTGAGGAATCAATCCTCAAGGAAAATTTCCAAGACAGACATAATCTGAACCATAAAAAAATTATAAATATTTTTAAAGAACTGAAATACTATATTCTATTTTCTCTATTATGGACTCAACTTAGAGACAATGATAGAAAGGCAACAGAGAAATCTCCAAACACTTGAAAAGTGTGCAACACACTTAAATAGTATAGTAGGAGGCCTCAATAGAAATTTCAAAAACACTTAAGGCTAAATTAAAATTAAATATATAAAAATGTCTAGGACACTGGTAAAGCTATGCTGAAATGGAAATTTTTAGCCTTCAATGCTTGTAATAGAAATGAAAAAAATCTAAAATTAATCATTAAAATTTCCACCTAGACAACCAAGAAAAAAGCTAAATTAAAGCCAAACAGAAAAAAAATATTAACAATAGATATCAGAAGATGCTGAAATTACATGAAAAACTGGAAAAATATATTAAACTACATGGAGGGGCTGGAGTAGCACAGAGGGTAGGGCGTTTGCCTTGTATGTGGCCGACCCGGGTTCGATCCCCAACATCCCATATGGTCCCCTGAGCACCGGCAGGAGTAATTCCTGAGTGCATGAACCAGGAGTAACCCCTGTGCATCGCTGGGTGTGACCCCCAAAAGCAAAAATAAATAAATAAATAAAATAAACTACATGGAAAAAAACGGTCTTTTAACAATATTACAAGCCCTTAAGAAAGATTGCCCCCCCAAAAGGAAAGACACAATTTGCTAATACTGTGAATTAAAAAAGAGGCATTACTACCGACCTTGTAGGCATGCACAGGAGAAATTGAGAATATCACAAACAACCCTACATATATGAAATGAAATGAGAAGAAATAAACCATAATTTAAAAACACACTGTCAATATTCACCCACTCTGAAATGGTAATGGTCTTATAAATATTCAATAGATTAAATGCATAATTTAAAATCTCTAGAAAACGAAAACTCCTGAACTTGCTGCTTTCAATTAGATAATTATACTAATTG